AAGGTCTTTAAGTCGAGAAGAAGACCAAGGTTGACCAAGCTTGGTAACAAGAAGCCACTTTTCGATTTACCTATGATTCCAACTTCACAACGAATGATATCGTACACAGAAGATTGACCCAACTTCACAACCAAAGAGTCATCTATAACACAACAATGAAAAATCAGTCTCATACTGAAGTCTTCAGGTCGAGTTTCAGCTTCATAATGAAGTGTATTGGGCTAGAAGATGATCCGGAAGCTACTTTCTAATGCTTTGAGAACGATTTCAACTTCACAACGAAGAAATCCATGCTCAGGATTCTTCACTCAACCTTACAGCGAGGGAGTCATCTATGATTCAATCCAAATTAACTGACCGATTATAACGTCAGATTTCAACTCTACAACAGAGGATATTCGATAAAGATGGGGATTGACCCCTATAATGAATAGTGTTAAATTTGGATACATTAATGTTAAACGAAAAGTGTGTATTTTAATCTTTGCCCTATTCTCGTTACACGACTATGGACAAAGAGGGGCAACTGTAGACACACTTTTTCTGACCGATTAGGAGCATACGTGTATATATATATATATATATTATCATCATTTTTATTAAACTAACATTTTTTATTTGTTTTGTACAGCCCAAAGCCCATTTACAATGATGTTGACCCAGTATCAATAGACCCAGTAGTCCAAAACCCGATTTGGAGCCCGACCCGAGACCCAACTCATGACCCGAACCGGTCTGACCCGAACTGTAACAGTTAGGGTTTATAAACCCTAACTCTCATCTCTTCTATTTTCAACGATGTTCCAGCCGCATCCAGCCACCATCCTAAGAATTCTCGACACCAAAAAACAACCAAGTAAGCAATGAGCATTTTAGTTTGAATATAACTCTAAAAACTGAAACATTTAAATCCAAATGAGACTCTAAATCAGAACTAAAAATAGAAAATCTTAGGCTATAAATGAATGTAAAATCACACTAGAAATTACACAAATCATACACGAAAACACGAAAAATCATAGAAGCAATATCGGACAAAACCGAAGCACTTGTAAACTTTCGAAATGAAATAAAGGGTAAAGTTCTTACCTTTCTTGGTTTCTTCACTTGCATGCGTTTTGTTTCCTTGATTTTCCTTTATTTTTGACTCGAAAGAAAGATCGGTCGATGATCAGAGAGGAGGGCATTCGAGAGGTTCTCTCAGATCTAGCCCTCCTCGAGATCGTTTTGCAAAAATAGATTATTTTTTTGAAAAGAATATATGAAAAGGTTTCGAAAAATAAAATAAAAAAATTTTGGGAGTCGATCAACGGCAGCCGGCGAGGCGACGATCGACCGGAATCTGGGTTCGTATAAACTTAGCGGTCATGTTCTTCATCTAAAGAAGAACACTTTGAATTTCTAAAGAGAAAATGAAAAGGGGGATTTTGATTTGGTTTGGGGATAAATGAAAATATGGGAGGTATTTGTAAAATTTGGCATTTTAACAACCTGCCGACCCGACCCGTGACCCGATCCAACCCAGCAGGATCCGCGTGTTTTCGTTAAAAAATGGGTAATTACGTTTTGGTCTTCCACTTGTTTTAAAGATCTATTTTGGCCCCTTTAATGTAATTTTGCCTCGATTTCCTCTTAATTTTACCCTATATTTTATTTTATTTTAATTTGGTCCTTTTGTATATTCCTCTTTTAATTTTTTCCTTTTTTATTATACATATTTTTTATATTTTATTTTTACTCTTTTCTTTTTCTTTTTGTTTTGTTTTGAATTTTTATATTTTTATTTATTTTATTTAATTCCATTATTTTGTTTTATTTTTTTCTCTCCTTTTTATTTCTGGTTTTTTTCTTTTCTTTTTTTATTTATTAAAACTATATTTTATATATATATATATATATATATATTATGTTATTTTTATTTTTATTTTTCTACTCTTTTCTCTTTGTTTCCTTTTTATTTTGTTTCTGTTTTTTAATCTTATTCAATTCTTTTTTTCCCTTATTTTTTATTTTTATCTTATTCTATTTTGTTTTATTTCTTTTACATTTTTTATTTTTTATTTGTGTTTTATTTTTTGAGATAAGTCTTTTATTATTATTTTGTTATTTATTATTATTTAGCTTCTATTTAGGGTTCTTATGCTTTTATTTTACTTCCTTTTTTTATTGTAGTAGTTGTTTATATTTAAGTTTGCAATTAATAATTTCATATTTATTTTTTTTCATAATTTAACCTTTCTCTGTTTTTGGTTCTGTTTTTTTTATAAATCTAACGTTTTTCTCTTTAAGGGTATTCTCGTAAATCCATTAAAGGTAAGTAATTTGGATCAAACTTTACCTTTTTAATTTAACTTGTAATTTTCTTAATTAAAGACAACTGAAAATTAGTACCAAAAGGATTGTTCAAGGGTGTTAATCATTCTTTAACTATAACCGACTCTCGAATCTGACATATCTTTGGTAAGATACAGATCATGTAAGAAATCAAGGTATTTTATCAACTCATTTTGTTCTTAAAATAAATAATCGGTGGCGACTCTAACATTTTTTCAAGTCGAAGCCCAATTTCAGACCTAACCAAAAGACGATTGCGACAATTTACTTTGATAAATAATACAATCCCAAATGAAATATTCCCATCCAAGTATTTCACCCCCTCGTTATTTTTGGTGGAGTTAAGCTTGTCTTTGCCTTCTTTGAAAAATTAAATTTGACCTACACCTCTATTATTTACCTAATTCAATTGCCTTACCCTCTCTTAGGGCGGATGGATTTACATAATATATTTAAAATTAATATTACATATATTATGAATATAATATTTAAATATTAAATCAATATAAAAAAAATTTATATTCAAAATAATTTAATTTTAAAAAATAATTATAATCATATTTTTGATATTTTATTGATAATAATATTTTCCTTAACACGAGTGAAGAAAAGAAATCAACTCTTTGTAAATAATTAATATTTTTTATTCAATTAAATAACAGAAATGATAAAACTCATCCTCCCTCAGAGCTTCATCCTCGTCACCTTCAAAACCATCAAAAAGACCAAAACCTCAACCTCCCTCAGAAACATCTTTTTCTACTCCTCCAAATATTAATCCAGAATTCCCTCCTGAAGTCTATAGACTGGTTATTGAAAACAAGTTTCACTCAAAACCCAAAAATATGATGTTTGAATACCAATTAGATCTTTTTAGATTTTATAGAGGCCTTTTCCTAAAACCTCATGGATTACATCCTCCAATCCATTTTGAATTTACTGAAGTACCAGACGAACTAAAATGGTTATTATGGTATTTTACCCACCTAGACCATGTAGCCATCCAATTTCTTTTAGAAGATCTTCAGTATTTTCTTTACAAAGCTATCAGAGGATTGAGTCAACCATAATTAGGACTGATTCAACCAGAACTCAAGAATCTTTTTTTTATCTTTCAATGGTTTTATACTTTGCATCAATGGCTAGAGATGGTGAACAAAGAAGCCCAGAAGAATCCATGAAAGTATATACTGATCATTTTCTACAAGCCACACTACTTTCTACATCATGGAGCATCAAAGCAGCTAGGAACACTTTCTACAGTGTGGATACACCATATATACCATGAAGATGTTAGAAAACTTGATGATCAGTACAGAGAACTCCAGAGATATTTGTGCCAGATAAACATACAAATTCCCATTGAAATATGGCCACCACCAAATGTTGATGCACCATGGGACTCATGGCCCTAAGATGTTACACTCTTGACATCTTACTACAAAGCAATTATGGAGGCAAAACGTGAATACTGGGAAATCTTATTAGACCCATCAGAATGGTCCTAAGATTATCCTTGGGTCAGTAATGTTGCTAGTAAAAGAGGTGAGTCATCAAAGACGACAAAAGCACAGACAGGAGATAAGCTGGAAATAGACCCAGAGGATTGGAACGAGGCTTATCAGTTAGCATGCTACAATAAAAAGCAGGAAACAGAAGACCGAATAATTGATCTAAACATCACGTCGGATGAGTCCACTGACTATAGTGACATATTTACTTTAATTTTTTTACTTTTCAAAGCACCGGACTTTGTCTGGAATCTTATGTACTGTGTGAAAACGTGTAAAATATGTGTGTTTGTCGTGTTCCTTCTCCTTCTGTTCTAAATGGAAAAAGAGGTCTTGTCCTGAAGAGGTCGTTTGTCTTTCAACTTGTTGCAGCCTTTTGTGGAGTAATACAATAAGCTCATTGGCAATCTTGGTGTTGGTATCCACCTTTGATTCTACTTGAGTAAGTTTGACATCCATTTGTGTGAGTTTAGAGTCAATCTTTTTCAAGGTAGAATTTTGAGCAAGAGCATTTTCAGTCTGCCAATTGAGTGCTGCTTCTGCTGCACTTATTTTTCTCCAAAAAGCTGACTAGGGATCTTAGGAGCATGTTTGTACTCCTTTTCATTGAATTCCTCAAGGGGAGGAAATTCTTTATCATATGATGGATGAGATGGATGAAACATACAAATAACAGAATCGGCTGGATTTGAGGCTCAAGAGGTTTTACTTGGGTTTCAGGATTCTTTTGTATCTATTTCTGGATATTTTTGTAGCAAGGTTGAATTAAAGTTCGAGGATCTGTTGGAGGTGGTGGTGGTGGAGATTTTAGTTTTGGTGGAGAAGGTTGGGGAGTATTTTGGGTCGGTTTAGGAGCCTTGCGCGAGTAATCAACAAGAAATTAGAATTTTCCATTGTCTTCTCTAAGTGGTCCAACAGTATGGAAGGAACCTCAAACCAGAGCAGTCAAAGTGTTGAAAGAAAAACTCCAGTACAATTTCCTTCAGATGGAAAAAGAATTCTCCAGACAGATGCAAGTGATAAATATTGGGGATCAATTCTTTTAGAAGAAAAATACAAGAAGAGATATGTTTGCAGATATAAGAGTGGAAGATTTTCAGATGCATAAATGTTTCTCTGTCTTTCTTCTCATAAGAGCAATATTTTCTTTTGAAAAACTCCTTTCTTTTGAGAGCTTTCACATCATTTGGATTTCCAAGGAAAAAATTGTGCATGATCCTGATTGCTACACCAAAATCTTGTTGAACAAGGAATTGCATCTGATCTCCTGCAAATAATGATATCCACCAATCTCTGAGTACTCTAGTGAATCTGGACACAAACTCAATGATAATATCATAGTTGCTTTCCCTTGTTAGCTTTTGAGTTTCCATCCAAGAATGGAATTCCTGTAATCTTTGAGACCATTTAGATACAGGAATATCATCAATAGTAAATGTGTATTTTCCTCCAGTGGTGGTAAAGGGTTGTCTCCCTGTAGAACTTTCTGCTTCCATAGGATTGTCAGAATCTGAAGTGTCTGACTTAACCTCAGGTTGATTTGTTGCAGCCATATTCACACCCTATGATGAGGAGTAAGAATCTTCTGAGCTTTCAGACTCTGAAATTTCTATAGAATCTTCTGATGCTTTTTCTTTAACAATAGCAATTTTTGAAATAATGGCTTCCCTATATTCCTTGAGAAAGGAAGTTAAGGGATTTTGTTGTCCTTGTTGGATCATAAGTGCCTTTGAGAATTTTGGGGAAGGATTTTCTTATTCTTGTTTCTTCCCTTTATCTTTTTCTCTCTTCTTTCTGTTTTTTGTCTTTTAATCTGCTGATAGAGCTCATAAGTTGTTGGCTTTTTCTTTTCAATAGGGAGAGAGGGGAACATCAATCCTTGAGAAGGTGTTGTATCTCTTTTGATCGAAGCGAAGATAGAAGGTTGAGGTTTTGGTGTAGCAGTTACTATGGGAGATTTTCACTCGTGTTACTATGGGGAAGTTCAAGGCGCTGTTGTGGACCACCACCAGGTCGGAGAAGAAGGGGAGGGGAGGGTGGCGCATGGGACACAATCGTTCATTGGGATTAACCGACGGGTGGGCAAATTTTCTTTAAAGTCACAATGGCGGATCCACAATTATAGTCTAATCCCTCGCCCCGCCCCGCTTTTTTTAACAGTCCGATCTAATGAATAGACAACGCCAACTTCAACCTTCTCACTCTCACTTCGCTCCCAAACAAAAAATAAAATAAAATTGCTTGGCCTCGTTTTATTTTCCACCACTGGATTGCTTCTTCTTTGGATTAATTTTTAAAAAAGATTTTGATATTTTGTTGAAGAAGGAACAGATTAGGTGATTGCTTTTGGTTATTTGTTCTCGATCTGAGGTAATTCTTTGCTTTGCTTAGAATCTACGTTTGAGTTTTAAGTTCTGTTATTTCTTTTCGGTGTTCGGGATTTTCTCCGACTTTCTTCTAATTCTGCAATCGGTATCTTTTTAGAGATCGGCGAGCTTTTCAAGGTTTACGTCGCTTTCTTCAACCTGCATTGGTTTCGTTTCTTCTGGTAATGAATGGTTCCCTTCTCTCTCTCTCTCTCGCTTTCTCTCTCACTATTTTTCTTTAATTAATTTCGCTTTTATGTTTCGTTTCCTTTTTCCGTATGGTATTTTGCCAGGTGAAATAATGAACGATCAGATTCAAAGCACCTTGGTTGAAGCAGTCTCTCAAGAGCAAGCCAACAAAAGAGTACATGTCAAACCTGCCGGGTTACCTACAGCGGGTAGACAGTTCAGATAACCTTCAAGAGAAGGCATTGAATGTCGGTGTTCTGGATTGGGCACGTCTAGAAAAATGGCAGTACCACCAAAAGTTTATCCCAACAACAGCTGGAAATGATGTATCGAAAACCAATGCCCAAATCTTCTGCTTTCTAATGATGTTCCCAAGGTTACCTCTGCCAATAAAGGTATGCAACACTCCTTAACTTGTTCAAGTCTTACCCCATCTCAAAAGGATGACATTCCTCAACAACAAAACCATCTATTCCAAAGTTAGGCACTATCAAGATATTGAAACTGCTTCCAAGAGCACCTTGGATCGGCAGAAGAAGACATCCAAGACATATAAATCCTCTGACAAAATTAATTCAGAAGCAAATCTTCAGAAGGGGAAGAGAAAAGAATTAGATCAGAAAATCACTTCAGAAATGGGTAATATGCCGTCAAACATGAGAAATCATGGAGTCTCACCTCTGCCAAAGGAAAATGCAAGTGTTTGTGATGGTCGAGCAAAAAAAAGAGTAGAGCAAAGGCAGAAAACTGATGTAAATAAGAAGGATTTGGATGATAATACTACTTCAGATATGGAGGCTTCTTCATCCAGATCAAGAAACAATGCAGTTTCACTGGGTTCCAGCAAAATGCTCGGTGCTGAAAGCAACAAAACTAAGAACAAAGATGCTGTGGAATCTGAACATGATCTTCTTCCAACTTCTGCCCGAAACAACTTTTTTGAAGAAACCTACGATGTGACTTTGAATGGAGCAAAACATAATAGCTCTTCCTATGACCTGCTTCAGAAGGATCATTTTCTTCTGAAACTGACATGATGGAACAGAGTCTGGATCTTTCGTCTGCGACCTGTGGTGTAACAACCCGAAAAAAATATATATTTAAGTTAGTATGATTTGGTGAAATTTAGTGATTAAATTAAAAGTTTTGAAAACTAATAGGTCATTTCAAAAGTAAAAGAAATTCATGGATAATCCTTGAATTTAGCCAAGGAGTGTGACGGCTTTGTTGATTTAAGCGTGTTTTCTGGTTTCAAACCAGAAAACACAAATGTTAAATTGCTTAAACTTTGCTCTCCCTACCCCTCCTTCCAAGCTCGATTCTGACGTCGTCCGACTTCCAATCATAAATTTAAACCACCGTCATGTTCATCTTCGACCCGTAATCAAAACCCAGTAAACCAATTATAGTGAAACGCTGCCAAACGACGTGAATTTCAAATCAAAGTCTCGACGTTTTTTTAGCACCACCGCCGGAGAAAATCTTAAATGCATCTCCGATAGTTGATCGTTTTCGACACCTCTCGTACCATCGTGTTCCTTGTGTCGTTCCGAGTCCCGGTGTCTTCCATGTCTCCGTAGGCGGCGGCGCGTGTGGGAGATGGAGCGGTCAAAGATTCGACCGAGTTGAAATCGAGCTCTCCACCGTTCAAAAATTTGAACCGATGTTGGTAAGTAACTCAAAATCGCTTAAAAGAATTTTTAGAAATTCTTTCAGAAATTTTTGGAGACCGAATGAGCCTTCACGCGCCGCCCTGTGCGTGGGGGAGTTTCGAACTGATGGGTGATGTTATTTGGCCGGTCTGACCGGTCCGAACCGGGTTGACCCGACCCGACCCGTTGACCGACCCGACCCGGTGATATTTTAGTAATTATTTTGAAAAATGTGATATTTTGATAATTATTTTGAAAAATGTGATATTTTGGTAATTATTTTGAAAAAGATGAGATTTTGGTAATTATTTTAAAAAAATGTTATTTTTGTAATAGTTAACTGTGGACTTTTGAGTACTTTTGACCAAACTTTGACCGGCTTTAACTGGCCATTAAACGACCTTAGATTTTGTTCGAATATACCTATTCTGAAATTTTTCGACGTGCCGAATCCGTTTCCGAAGTCTGTTTCGTCAAATTCGAACTCGAAGACCTCCAAATCATCAGTAAAATCCGTTAACTTTGATTTTGACCAAGAATTTAAATTTTTGAAAAGTCATATTTTATGTTTTTCGACGTCCTGATTCCGATTCCGCAATCTGTTTGGTCAAATTCAGACTCGAAATCCTCCAAATTGATAGTCAAACCCGGAAAATGATTATATACTTAAGAATTTTAGCTTTGAACAATTAAGTTAAACCACGTGTGCCAGTATTCACCCGTAAGACCCGTAAGTTTTATGTTTTTAGAGATTAATTATGTTACTCATTAGTAATATAGTGTTATTATGAATTAGGTTCGAAAACTGTAGCAGAGCGTGGTGAGACCAGCAATCAGTAGATCTACTATTTGAACCTATTATCGAGGTGTGTTCCCTATTTATTACTGAATTGTTTTATTTGTTTTAATATGTGGTACACTGAATTCTTTGGTTACTGTTTTATTGATGCACCGATTTAATGTGATAGTTTATGGATTATGACTGATATCTGATTTTTGTTTTGAAATGGTATATGATTACCATGTTTATGGATTTATAGAATTTATGTCACGGTGCAATTGAATTTTTGGAATACGAATTTATAAAGTACAACTCTGATCAAGCTGAAAATTTTACGGACCTAATGTGACTCTTAGGTAGGCTCTACGGCCCTGAGATCATTCTCGGATAGGCCTTGCGGCCCTAAGATGTGTTCTTAGGTAGGCCTCACGACCCTGAAATCTATCTTGGGTAGGCTCTCAGCCCTAAGATGTTCCCTTAGGGTAACTCTTTTATGAGATTTACTGCAGTATAATTTTATGAGATTTACTAGACTATGATTTATTTAGTGTACCTATCATGATTTATAGTAATGTTGGAACACACTGAGCCTAGCTCACTTTTCGAAAATGTTTTCCCCTTTCAGATACTGTTGGTTAGATACACCTGATTGAGCATTTGGAGGATCAACATATCTCTTGAAGTATATGGTATTGTAATGTTTTATCTTTTAAGTTGACTCTAATTTGATAACATGAGCCTTATTTTAAAGTATTGGATTTTATAATGATTACTCCTTTGTTATTTATATTTGGTTATCGTAAATTAAAATTTTAAGACATGTTTAAATTAATTTTTTTTCATTATATTTATGAGTTGGGTTTTTATAGTATAAATTATTATAATTTCATAAACGTCATTTATAATGTGATTTTACCTTGATTGAATAATGGTTTCGGAAAAATATCTTAAAGAATCATGAATATGATCCACTAGATTAGTCGAAAAGTATAGGTCGGGTCTAGGGGGTTACATTTAATTGGTATCAGAGCTTTTGGTTTCTAAACCTCGGACTGTGTATGAGTCCAAATTGAAAATGCGGTTTTGAAATATTTTACAAAACAAGTTACTAAGGTCATGTCTCAAAGTTTTTACGGTTTTAAATGTGTTCGATACTCCAAGTGCTTATCTAACCCTAAGTTTTATCTTATGTAGTAAACTTGAGATCCACCAAAATGAGTGCTAGGCGTGGACGTCGAACTAGCCGTGGACGAGGTCGAGTGGCTAAATTTGCAGACCCGATCGATGAGATTCGGGTAGATCCTCCACCTCTGACAGGTGATCATGATCATACGACCCCGACAAATTTACCTCCTACTGCTGGGATTGGCATGACAACACCGATTAGGGGAGCAACCGATAGTGAGCCTAATTCTACCAGAGTCGTATTTGATGAGAATTTTGGTAGACAATTTTTTTAGTTGATTCAAGGAGCGGTTAGAGCTGTTGGTGTTGGATCCGAGGTGCCTATTTCTCATACTCTGATTGCCAATAGAGTCAGAACTTTTGGAGGACAGCTTGGTGGAGTTCCTACTGAAGCAGAAGATTGGCTCCAAGATACTGAGAGACGTATGGATCAGTTGGGTTTGGACCCAACTAAGAGATATTTGGGGGCAGTAGCGATGTTACATGGCAATGCCCACACCTGGTGCGAGTCAGTGACCAGTAGTGTTCCTACCGATCATTTGACATGGGATTTCTTTAAGGAGCGCTTTCGGAGCCGATTCCTGGGGGAGCGTTACTTAGTCCAAAGACGACAGCAGTTTTAAGGCTTGGTTCAGGGTGACATGACTGTTTCAGAGTATGAGATAGAGTTCTTGAAATTGTTAAAGTATGGAATCAGTCTGGTGCCTAATGAGAGAGATCGATGCCGTAAATTTACCCTCAGACTCAGATACGAGCTACATAGACAGGTTGTTGCCCTCCAAGATGAGATTTTTGATGTGCTGGTGAGCAGAACTAAGGATGCTGAGGAGATGGAGGCTTTAGCTTCTGGTAGAGAGCGTGCTGATCAGGAGCGATCTAGGAAATCTTATGGCCCTACTGAATCATCTGCACAGTCCGGTAAGAGGACTCGTACTTCGGCCCCTCAGAGGAGCAATGCACGTTTCAGGCCTGCAGCATCATCACCTTCAGATGTTAGTAGAGGTGGTTCTTCGGTTTAGTTTCAAGTGCCTCCCTGTGACTTTTGTGGTAAACAACACACAGGAGAGTGTTATAGGAAGACCGGAGTATGTTTTCATTGTGGATCTTGTGGTCATTTTCGGAGGGATTGTCTTCAGCTAGCTTCGTCTGAGCGGACCGCTACCCAGACTCTTGTACGTTCTCATACTATAGTACAAACCCCAATTAGAGATCGTAGTCAAGGAAAGGCTAGAGGATCAACGTCCAGGACAGACAGTAGAGCCTGACCTCAGCAGAATAGAGGGCCAACAGTTTTTGAGGCTAGACAACCAGCTTTGGTTTACGCCACTAGACGTCAGGATGACAGAGATGAGCCTGAGGTTATTGCAGGTACATTTACTATTTATTCTATTCCATTCCATACTTTGCATTACTGGACAATGGCTCCACCCACTCCTATGTATCGAGCTCAGTATCTCGAAACCTTCAAATTCCGATCGAGAACACTGATAATACTGTTACGGTTACGAGTCCAGTATGACAGGCAATATTAGTGAATAAGGTATTTCGGCGTTGGCCTCTAGAGGTTTAGGGACAAATTTTTCTCGCTGATCTTATGGAGCTTCATTTAGAGGAGTTTGATCTAATTCTTGGGATGGATTGGTTGAATAAACACAAGGTAAATCTGGATTGCGAATATAAGCGAGCTACTCTGAAGACTTCAGATGGTCGGACTGTTGTGTTAATTGGTGAACGGCGTGTCTATCTCTCTAATATTGTTTCAGCTATGGAAATTAATTGTATGATCAGGAAGGGATATGAGACTTTCATTGCCTATATTTTGAACACTAAAGGTTCCTTGTCCACAATTGAGGAGATTCGTACAGTTAGCGAATTTCCTGATGTTTTTCCGGAGGAGTTGCCTGGGTTACCTCCTGATAGAGAGGTAGAGTTCGAGGTTGAGACTTATCTGGGATCTTCACCTATTTCTATGGCACCTTATCGTATGGCTCCAAAGGAACTTATGGAGTTGAAGATCCAATTGCAAGAATTATTTGATCGAGGATTTATTCGGCATAATACCTCACCCTGGGGAGCTCCAATTCTGTTTGTGAAAAAGAATGATGTGTCGCTAAGGCTATGTATTGACTATCGGAAGTTGAACAAGATGACGATCAAGAATAAGTATCCATTACCGATGATTAATGACTTATTTGATCAATTACGAGGATTTACTATATTTTCTAAGATTGATCTTCGTTCGGGGTATTATCAATTGAAAGTTAAGGGGTCCGATGTTACAAAAACGGCCATTCAAACTAGATATGGTCATTATGAATTCTTAGTAATGCCTTTTGGTTTGACGAATGCTCCTACAGTTTTCATGGATTTGACGAATCGTGTGTTCTGACCATATTTGGATCAATTTGTGGTTGTCTTTATTGATGATATTATGGTTTATTCTCGGATGGAAACAGAGCATGACGAGTATTTGAAGATTGTCCTGCAGACCTTGAAAGAGCATCGACTATATGCCAAACTAAGCAAGTGTGAGTTTTGGCTTCAAGAAGTGTCCTTTTTGGGGCACATTATTTCTGCTCGAGGTATTCAGGTTGATCCAAGCAAGCTCGAGGCTATTGTGAATTGGAAAAGACCCAAGAACGTCTCTGAGATCCGCAGTTTCTTGGGCTTAGCTGGATATTATCGACGTTCTATTGAGAGCTTCTCGATCATTGCTGCTCCTTTGACAAAGCTGTTAAGGAAGAACGTGTCGTTTGACTGGGGCAAGGCACAACAGGAGAGCTTTGAGAAATTAAAGATTGTTTTGACTCAAGCACCAGTGTTGATTCAACCAGAGTCCGGGAAGGATTTTACAATGTATAGTGATGCTTCACATTCAGGACTTAGTTGTGTACTAATGTAGGAGGCTAAGGTAGTGGCTTATGCGTCACGTCAACTACGACCACATGAGTGTAATTATCCTACTCATGATTTGGAGTTAGTAGCAGTGATTTTTGCCTTGAAGATTTGGAGACACTATCTTTATGGAGAGAAGTGTTATATTTTCACTGATCATAAGAGCTTAAAGTATCTTCAGACCCAGAAGGAGCTTAATTTGAGATAACGGCGCTGGTTAGAGCTTCTAAAGGATTATGATTGTGTGATTGATTATCACCCTGGTAAAGCTAACATTGTGGCGGATGCTTTGAGTCGAAAGGAGGTATCGGAGTTGAGGTCTTTAATGGCCAAAATGAATTTATATGACGATGGCACTTTGTTAGCAGAATTACAAGTTAAACCGACTTTGGTTGATGAAATTAAAGTTAAGCAGCCCCTTGATAGCTCATTGCTATCCATCTTTGAGCAAGTAGAGCAGGGGACAAGCTCAGATTACGCCCTTGATCAGGATGAAGTTTTATGCTTTAAAGGTCGTTATTGTGTGCCTGATGATGTTGAGTTGAGGCAGATTATTCTTAATGAGGCTCACAGTAGTCCATATGTTATGCACCCTGGTGGAGATAAGATGTACCGAAATTTGAGAGAGAGGTATCATTGGGTCGGCATGAAGAAGAACATCTCGAATTTTGTGGCTAGGTGTTTGACTTGTCAACAAGTTAAAGCAGAGCATCAACATCCATCAGGTTTGTTGCATCCTATCAATATTTCTGAATGGAAATGGGAGCGTATTACTATGGATTTTGTTACCGGATTACCTATGACTCCTTCGAAAAAGGATTCAGTTTGGGTTATTGTTGACAGACTTACAAAGTCAGCTCACTTCATTCCTATACGGGTAAATTATACTTTGGACAAGCTGGCGAGATTGTATATTTCGGAGATTGTCAGATTGCATGGTGTTCCATTGTCTATTATTTCTGATCGAGATCCGAGATTTACTTCGGGATTTTGGAAGGCGCTACATACGGCTTTGGGAACAAGATTGGATTATAGTACATCCTTTCACCCACAAACTGATGGTCAATCTGAGAGAGTGATTCAGATTCTGGAGGATATGTTGCGAAGGTTGCGTAATTGATTTTCATGGTAGTTGGGAGAACTTTTTTCCGTTGTCTGAATTTGCTTACAATAACAGTTATCATACCAGCATTCGTATGACACCCTACGAAGCACTCTATGGCGTAAATGTCGCACTCCGATATGTTGGACTGAGTTGCGTGACCAGAAGACTTTGGGACCTGAGTTAGTACGCGAGACGGAGGACACAGTCTGATTGATTCGTGACCGTCTGAAAGAGGTATTTGAAAGACAGAAGTCTTATGCAGATCAAAGGAGGAAAGATATTCAGTTTGATGTTGGAGATCATGTATTTTTGAAGGTATTTCCGTGGAAGAAAGTACTGAGATTCGGGCGTAAGGGTAAATTGAGTCCAAGATTTATTGGATTATTTCATATTTTGAAGAGGGTAGAACATGTTGCCTAATGAGCTCAGTCGTATTCATGATGTCTTTTATGTATCAATGTTGAGGCGATACCGTCCAGATCCAGGTCACATCATTCAGGTTGAAGAGGTAGAACTGAGGCCTGATTTGTCATTTGAGGAGGAGCCCATTCAGATCTTAGAAAGTGATGAGCGAGTTCTTCGGAATAGGCGTATCCTAATGGTAAAAGTTCAATGGAGTAGAGTCAATGGAGACTCAGTTTCCTCAACTATTCTCATAAGGTAAATTTCGAGGACGAAATTTCTTGTAGAGAAGGAGAATTGTAACAACCCGAAAAAAAATATATTTAAATTGGTTTGATTTGGTGAAATTTGGTGACTAAATTAAAAGTTTTGAAAACTAGTAGGCCATTTTAGAAGTAAAAGAAATTCAGGGACCAATCCCTGAATTTAGCTAAGGAGTGTCGGCAGCTTTGTTGATTTAAGCGTGTTTCTGGTTTCAAACCAGAAAACAAATGTTAAATTGCTTAAACTTTGCTCTCTTGTACCCCTCATTCCAAGCCTGATTCCGACGTCGTCCGACTTCCAATCGTAAATTTGAAACCACCGTTGTGTTCATCTTCGACCTGTGATCAAAACCCAGTAAACCAATTATAGCGAAATGTTGCCAAACGACGTGAATTTTGAGTCAAAGTCTCGACGTTTTTTTAGCACCACCGCCGGAGAAAATCTTAAATTCATCTCCAATCGTTGATCAGTTTTCGACACCTCCCGCACCATCGTGTTCCTTGTGTCGTTCCGAGTCCGACAGTGTCTTCCTTGTCTCCGTAGGTGGCGGCGCGTGTGGGATGTGGAGCGGTCAAAGATTCAGCTGAGTTGAAATCGAGCTCTCCACCGTTCAAAAATTTGAACTGAGGTTGATAAGTGACTCAAAATCGCTTAAAATAATTTTGAGAATTTTTTTCAGGAATTTTCGGAGACGGAGAAGCCTTCACACGCCCCCACGCGCCCCCCTGCACGTGGGGGAGTTTCGAACTGATGGGTGATGTTTGACCGGTCTGACCAGTCTGAACCGGGTTGACCCGACCTGACCCGTTAACCGACCCGACCCGGTGATATTTTAGTAATTATTTTGAAATCGATGATATTGTGGTAATTATTTTGAAAAAGGTGATATTTTGGTAATTATTTTTAAGAAATGTGTTATTTTCGTAATAGTTGACTGTGGACTTCTGAGCACTTTTGACCAAACTTTGACCGGCTTTAACCGGCTATTAAACGACCTTAGATTTTGTTCGAGTATACCTATTCTGACATTTTTCGACGTGTCGAATCCGTTTCTGAAGTCCATTTCGTCAAATTTGAACTCGAAGACCTCCAAATCATCAGTCAAACCCGTTGACTTTGATTTTGACCAATAATTTGAATTTTTGAATAGTCATATTTTATGTTTTTCGAAGTCCTGATTCCGATTCCGCAATCCGTTTGGTCAAATTCAAACTCAAAATCCTCCAAATTGATAGTCAAACCCGGAAAATGATTATATACTTAAGAATTTTAGCTTTGAACAATTAAGTAAGAGTTGAGACTGATAAATTATTATTGTTTGAAGGTACAAGAGACTCTTCTGATCGTTCGACAGCTTGACCCAGCTCCTCTAGATCAGTTAAACCACGTGTGCCAGTATTCACCCGTAAGACCCGTAAATTTTATGATTTTAGAGATTAATTATGTTACCCATTAGTAATATAGTGTTATTATGAATTAGGTTCGAAAACTGTAGCAGAGCGTGGTGAGACCAGCAATCAATAGATCTACTATTTGAACCTATTATCGAGGTGTGTTCCCTATTTATTACTGAACTGTTTTATTTGTTTTAATATGTGGTACATTGAATTCTTTGGTTACTGTTTTATTGATGCACCGATTTAATGTGATGGTTTATTGATTATGACTGCTATCTGATTTTTGTTTTGAAATGGTATATGATTACCATGTTTATGGATTTATGGAATTTATGTCACGGTGCAATTGAATTTTTAAAATACGAATTTATAAAGTACAGCTCTGATCAAACTGAAAAATTTTACGGACCTAATGTGACTCTTAGGTAGGCTCTACGGCCTTGAGATCATTCTCGGGTAGGCCTACGGCCCTACGATGTGTTCTTAGGTAGGCCCCACGGCCCGAAATCTATCTTAGATAGGCTCTCATGCCCTAAGATGTTCCCTTAGGGTAACTCTTTATGAGATTTACTGCAGTATAATTTTATGAGATTTACTAGACTATGATTTGTTTAGTGTACCTATCATGATTTTATAGTAATGTTGGAACACACTAAGCCTAGCTCAGTTTTCGAAAATGTTTTCCCCTTTCAGATACTATTGGTTAGATACACCTGATCGAGCACTTGGAGGATCAACATATCTCTTGAAGTATATCGTATTGTAATATTTTATCTTTTAAGTTGACTCTAATTTGGTAACATAGGCCTTATTTTAAAGTATTGGATTTTATAATGATTACTCATTTGCTATTTATATTTGGTTATCGTAAATTGAGATTTTTAAGACATGTTTAAATTAATTTTTTTTTCATTATATTTATGAGTTGGGTTTTTATAGTATAAATTATTATAATTTCATAAACGTCATTTATAATGTGATTTTATCTTGATTAAATAATGGTTTTGGAAAAATATCTTTAAGAATCATGAATGTGATCTATTAAACTTAATCGAAACGCATAGGTCGGATTTAAGGGTTAAAGTGAGCCTTTGTTCTCAGAAAACACATGAAATCTAAGGTCTCGGGGCAAGTATTCAGCAGAGAATAAGACTAAATCTCAAGATACTGATTTTGAAACTCTGAAGATACTGGAAGAAGAAATGGCTGAGCTGGCAACTGAAAGAAGCAGAACTAACTCACCAAATCGCCGCTTTAGTTTCAGCTTGAGTCGTATTAGTAGAAGTTTCAGTTTTAAGGAAAGTTCTGCAGTCCCACAATTGAGCTCTGATTATGTTTCTGTGAGGTCCGGTCCAATGAGGTCTGATTCTTCTTGTTTTCTTGATGATGCGCACATAGAGAAGCTGAATGGCCGTCATAGAACTAGATCCAGCCCTTTTAGAAGGGTGCTGGATCCACTACTGAAGTCCAAGGGCTTAAATTCCTTTCGATCAACTGACACTGTTCAGCCATCAAAGGGAAGCTTGAACTCCTCTACTCCACGGCCACTTTATGCAAATGAATCCTTTCAGGAAGAAAAGTTGGGGTCATCAATGACTAAAGCTCTTCTAGAGGTTGCAATGAAGAATGGACACCCACTGTTCAGATTTGTTGTCACCAATGGTAGCAACATGCTTGCAACAACCGTGAAAAGTCTAGCATCATCTGACAAGGTGGGATCTGATAAGAACTACGTATTCTCTTCGGTTAGTGAAATTAAGAAAAAGAGTGGCAGAAGGATTAGTAAAGGAAACAAGGAAAAAAACTGTGGTTACATCTATAATATCATTGGACAATTGAAGATTTCCGACATTCATATTTCAGATTTGACTGCGGCAGACTCTTACTATTACCATATGGTAAGAGAATCTGTTCTGTTCAGTGTGGAGCAAAGACAAGCTGATCAAGCATTGGTGAAGTTTACACCAAGTAACGAGCTTGCTGCTGTTATCATCAAAATACCTGGTGAAAGCGATGCACAGCAAGCTGATAAAGATGGATTCCTGTGCAACTTCATGGAAAATTCGAGCTCCAAAAGTACTACTGTCATACTTTCTGGGGGAGTCCATAGCATGCCAAACAAAACATGCCTATCTTCAGCTTGGTTCCACACAAAAAGGGAATTTATGCAATTCAGTTCATCAATCACTGCGTTGCAGGCGTTCTTTATTGCCGTAACAGTTGTAAGTTGTTGGAAATCCTCTGATTTTCCAAAATTCAATAACCTAAAGGAAGAAATGTTTGATGGCAGCCTTGGGATGGACACCAAACCAACCATTGCAGCTGGAGCCATGCCTGCAAAATATGCTCCTAACCCGCCTCATTCACCTGCTGGGAGGGTATAGTTAGTTTCGCAACGGTGGCCTGCTTCAATTTTCAGATACAGTTATAAAAAGTCTCGAAGAGTGCTAAAACTTGAGGTTAATGGTCATACATACAAGGAATTGGATTTGGGGTATAGGCTTGTTCAACATGGTTAATCGTCATGATTTTGTAAGAGTTGCACATTACCAATAGAGATCACTTGTATAAAGGATATAATAATGGTAAATATCATTCACTGTTTTAAAGTGTTTTTACTTTTTAAAATCAAGAACAGCATCGTACTATATGTTAACATAAACTTTGTAGTAATATGCCCAAGAAAATATACATAAAATGCCATAAAATTTTGTTAACAAGCTGAATCAAACTGAGAATAACGTGTTAAAGGAATAAGTTGCTTTAATAGAACATCCAACCATGTTAATGGGAGAAAACCAGACTCCGAAAAGGAATAAAAGCCAAAAAGAAAACACAATAAGGATGCTGATATAGTGAACTATGCTTTCAAATGTCGGCTTGGGAAGCATGGTGAATGCATATGTACCATTGACCGTTGATCCTTTCAAACACGTTTGTTACAAACTGTGCTCCCCAATTGTTACCTTTTGTCGTCTTGACGAATTCCATGCATATATATACCCGGAATCTCCTTTAACGTGAACCCGGACATTTTTCAGTTCCATCTCCAAGGGAAATTCATAGTTCATCCACACAATCTCCCAGCTTTCCATTACAAAATCTAACCGGATATCCCATTTGCAGCTGGGTGCACACAACAAACATCATCTCCTTTTGCCCAAAGGTTCTACATCGTGGCTAAATCCCCTCGCCTAAAAGCATCATAAAACCGAGAATTTGCTGCCAGTACCGAAGCCTTACTATCCTCGTGTAGGACTCGGAGGTCATCCCTAACTTTTGCTACTTCAGCATAGTTTTCTTCCTCAATGGCAGTCTGTAGATCCCTCTGCAAGGTTTGTTCATCTTATATGATGCTTTCAGCACTTAGATCAATGTCATCATGTTTGGCTTGAAAAGGCATCGACGACAGCACATGCAGATGTTGTCTGAAGGGTGCTGCACTAAATTAATCAGCAGTTAGAACTGTGCGAAACTCAAATCCCAACAAGGAAAAACAAGGAAATTATATAGGTGATATGTGAAGAAACCTAAAGAAAAGATAATATCCATCCATCAAAATTCATATTGAAGAACTCAACAGAAGATAAATATGGGCTCAAAATGCGGATAATCTCGACAATCTATCAGAAGGAAAAGGTCATCCAACTTGACCAAGTACTTGTATGAAGAGGGAAAAAAAACTCAGAAATCAAAAGAAAATGTACGTTTAGTTGGTGATAAGATGCATATTAGACATATATTCTATGATATTTTCCTCATATTTGAATAACTAAAATTGCTTAAATCCTGGATTTTGATTATTTTTTGTATTTTGTGGATTAGGTTGAATATTTGGATTAAACAAGTTCAAAATCTAATGATTAGCATGATCTTCACAAAATCCCCAAATTAAGCAGAAAAAATCAAAATTCAAGAAGTTGACAAAATCATAAGAGGTTTTCGCATAAGGCGTGGGCACGACTTATTCATCCTGAGCTATCGCAGAAGAAGTCTTCAGTTAAGGCGTGGGCTCTTACCAGTCTGTACAACCCTAAATTAGGGTTACAAATTAACAAAGAAAAATGAGTTTAATGACGGTTGGAAGACTCTTTTGAATTATTCTTATCTTTAGAAAAGGATGAGGGTATTTTAAACTCCTATTTTTGTGGAATTTACTTTTAATAAACTTCCTTATCTAGAGTAGGAAAATCCTTATAAAATGGGAGTTAGGGCTTTCATAGGAGGCATCAGTTTTACATCAAGTTTTTCATTAAGTTTTCTTTAAGTTTTTCTTTTGGTGTTCTTTCAATTATGAGTAGCTAAATACTTTTGATCCAACTGAAGGATAATTGAAGTTTTGGTTCTTCAAGAATTGTGAGATCTAAATAATTTTCATTGTTCTTTTACTTCTTTGCTATTTATATATCTTCTGTTTTTATTAAGAATTATTGTCTTGATTGATTGTGCAAAGGGCCCGTTGTACAATTATCAGGTTGATAAATTGTCATTTAGAACTTTAAATCCGTAATTGTTTAAACGTTCTAATATTAGTGGTAAAGTAACATAGTTGATTTTAATTATGTTATGAAGGTATGTAACCTAGTCTAAATGAATCGAGCTTGTGTATTCGTTGGCTAAAATTAATGGTCCCTCTAGTGGTTAACGTTGTTGGTAGATTAAATCTTAAGAGTTTGTCTAGGGTTGTTCATTAACAAGGGAAATAATCAAAGAACTCCTCTTGATTATCAAGAAACTAAGAGAGACAAGTTGTTAGAGCTTTTCAATAACCATAACCAATTTAGTGAAAAGTAGAAGACTTTATCATTGCATCTATGATCAATTCTCTGAACCAATTCTGAAATTATACCTTTAGTTGGATATTTGCTTGATATTGATTTCTCTAAATTCTTAGTTGATTATAATTGCTTTTTCTTTTTTTTTTCTCAATTTCAAAACCCCTTTTATTTACTTTAAGTTTCATTAAAATAAGTCTACCCAATCCCTGTGGATTCAACCTTGTTTATCACTACTACAATTTTATATTTCTAAAAGCAAGTTTTATTATTTGATAGATTCTACACCCACCAAATTTTTGGCGTCGTTGTCGGGGATTAGTGTCATTTAGACGTATTTTGATGCCTCGTTCTTCTCATGCAGGTGAACTCTAATACGATCCTGAGATCGAGAAAACCGCTCGCAAGTTAAGAAAAAAAACTAACTTGCGCAACAAACAAGCTTCTTATTCTTCATCCCCTGAATCAGAATCTGCAGTCAACTTGGTTGATTTATCCAGCGATTCTGAAATAGAAGGAACAATGGCCAACGAAGAAAGAACTCTAAGAGAATTGGCTGCACCAAATGAGAATCAACAACCTCTCTGCATTGACTACCCAACTTTAGAGGTAGCTTTTGAACTAAAATCTGGTTTGATTCATTTGTTGCCTACTTTCCATGGACTTGAGAATGAACATCCTAATAAGCATTTGAAGGAATTTCAAGTGGTATGTTCAAATATGAGACCGCAGGGAGTGACTGAAGAGAAGATAAAATTGCGCGCTTTTCCGTTCTCGCTAACTGATAGAGCTAAAGATTGGCTCTTATATTTACCCCTTGGTTCTGTAACTACTTGGGCTGAGATGGTGTGGATGTTTCTTGATAAATTTTTCCCTGCTTCAAGAGTCGTCGGCATTCGAAGGGAGATATGTAAAATAAAACAAAAAGATACTGAGACCCTTCACGAGTATTGGGAACGATTCAAACGACTGAAAGCCAGCTGCCCTCAACATGAGATTTCTGAACAACTTCTCATCCAATATTTCTATGAGAGACTTCTACCCATAGAGAGGAAGATGATGGATGCAGCTAGTGGAGGCTCCATAGTGAATAAGACTCCTCGTAATGCTAGGGAATTGATCTCATCATGGACGCTAATTCACAACAATTTGGCTTTAGGCAAAACACATCTTCAAGAATGGTGAATGAGGTATGTTCATCCTCCATTGAACATCAATTATCGCATCTCACCTCCCTTGTTCAACAACTAGTTGTAGGAAAAACGTAACAAGTGAAAGCTTGTGGGATATGTGCTGTGATCGGTCACCCAACTGACATGTGCCATATACTTCAAGATGATTCTCATGAGTACGCCAATGTAGTTGGAAGGTTTCCTGGTCCACCACAAAGGAAGTATGATCCTTACTTAAATACCTATAATCCATGATGGAGGGATCATCCTAACCTGAGCTATGGACAAGACCATCGCAATTCCAGCGTTTTCCACCTAACAGTCTTCTTCAAAGCCAGGTATGTCCCTGGAAGAAATTGTCAAATCACTTGCAACTAATACACAAAATTTAGTAAGAGACAAGAACAAGCATACAAATTTGGAGAATCAAGTGAGTCAATTGGCATCCTCCATAAGTCGGTTAGAATCCCAAGGTAAGCTACCGTCACAAACCATTGTTAATCCAAAGTAAAATGTTAGTGCAATCACATTGAGAAGTGGGAAGTAGTTGAAGGAACCTAGTTTATTGACACATGGGAGAGCCTTAGAGGAAGAAACTGAAAAGGAAGTTGTTGTTCCCCATACTAAAAAAGATCAACCAAAAGACTCAACAGCGAACAACCGAAGGAATTTGTCATAAAACCTCATTTTCCCGCTAGATTCGCTAAGTCCAAGAAAGAAGCAGAAGAGAAAGAAATTCTTGAGACATTTTACAAGATCGAGGTAAATATTCCTTTACTTGATGCAATTAAACAAGTACCTCGATATGCTAAAGTTCTTAAAGAATTGTGCACCAACAAGAGAAAGCTCAAGGGTAATGAAAACGTAAGTCTGGGGAGAATGTTTAGCTGTCCTCCAGAAAAAACTACCCCCAAGTGCAAAGATCCATGTATGTTTACTATCCCTTGTAAACCCGGTAATGTTAGGATTGAGAGAGAAATGTTATATCTAGGAGCCTCAATAAATATCATGCCTCTTTCTATTTACTCATCCCTGAATGTTGGTCCTTTAAAAGAAACAATAGTGATTCTTCAACTTGCTGATAGATTTAATGTATATCCTGAGGGAGTTTTAGAGGATGTTTTGGTGCAAGTTAATGAATTGGTTTTTCCTGCATATTTTTATGTGCTTGATATGCAAGAAGATGATTCTTATAAATCAACATCAATTTTGTTACGAAGACCATTTTTTAAAACAGGTAGGACAAAAATTGATGTGAATGATGGTACACTTACCATGGAATTTGATGGTGAAATTATTAAATTCAATATTTATGATGCCATGAGATGTCCTAGTGATGTGTCCTCTGTTTTTGTCATGGATGTTATTGACCCTTTAGCACATGAAACTTTTGATCAAAATGAATATGACAAGTTGAAAGATACACTCAACATGAAT